TTCTAATGATGAAATAAATTAGCATGTGGACTACATAAAAATGACAAATTCGTGATTTTCAAAACATGATCAGCACATGCACTATTCACCACTAAAGATCCATGCATTTGTCTTTTTTGTGTAGCTCACATGTTAATTTATCTCAGTATCAAATTTTATGTGTGTGTAGTATGCATTCATATTACCATGTAGAATTTATTTTTGCATTTCTTGAAACATAAAAAATGTAAAAAAATCAACTATTGAAAATTTAGCTCACTGGCACTCGTGTTCCGAAGAGACTTTTGAACTGTTATAGACTAATTTTGTACTTACACTATAAAAAACACAAAATGCTAACTACAACAACTACATGCATGTACTGATATTCTCTCAGTTAGGGCATGCAACTACAATGACACCTAAGACGATTGCCGAGTTAAATGAGAGATAAACAAAAATATAATAATTTGACTTTCCTTATTCTACAAATAATCTCTTAGTAAGGAAGTTAAGCCTTTTGTTGTGTACATGATGCCACATACTTCTCATTTTAATTTTAGTCAGTTCTTATGAAGGACCATGAAAATCTATTGGATTCATTGTATAACTTGTTATTAGAGGCATGAAATGTAAAAGAAAATCATCATATAAATTGTACTTCCATTACACGCAAAGCTCCACCTCACCTCCTGACCAGAGATGCTATACTTACGGACATGTGTGGATTTATTGTTACAGACTGATGTGCCAAATTATGGTTGGAGCTTAGGTGGGAAGGGAGACACCAGTGTAAATCAAGGGGGCATGGATTGGTGGAAGAGGAATCCGGGAAAACCAATACACACTACTGGAAATAGAGAAGCCATTAGTTAGATCTTTGCCGTCCGCTAGCGAACTTCAAAGAAGGTCTTTGTCGTCCGCTTCCAAAAAACGAACGACAAAGAAAGAACTGACGGCAAAGACCATATTTGCATCAGCCAATTCTTTGTCGTCCTCTAGTAGACGGCAAAGAGATGGGTGGGGCCCAGTGGAGGTCCAAACCCTGACGGCCCATCAGCCCCACCACTTTGCCATCTGCTAGCGGACGACAAAGATTTAACTATGTAACGGTCGTTTCCTGCCCCCCCCTCTCTGTTCTCTTCCTCCCTAACCCTCGAGCCCAATCGCGTGCCGCCAGTCAGATCACCCCGACCCCCACCGCACCCCGCCGCCGCCCCCAACCGCCCCCGCCCCG